TTTAAAAAAAAAAAAAAAAAATTTGAGACACTCCTGGCTTCCCTGGTCCGGATTCTGGGTCTGTCATTTAAAAGCTGTGGTCCTGGGCAAATGAGTTAAGCTGTCTCACTCAGTTTCCTTGTAAAATCAGGTTTAGCTCTTGGCTAGGTGAAGATTCAAAGGGACGATTAAGCTTAAGTGCTTAGACTCAGCCAGGAACATAGTAAATGCTAAATAAATGGTGAAAGGGGGATTTTTCTACCCTTGTCTGCCCTGGCCCGCAGGGCAGGAGAGCCTGGGGGCAGGCGAGAGAGGCTCTGCTCTGGGGGGCCAGTTTTGGCAGTGACCACATCCCTCCACCTGGGGCCACCACTCCTGGGGGTGGCCTCGCTCCCCCGACCAGAATTCTTCTAACTTCACGCCTACCACGCGGACACAGAAATAGTGAGTGCCCCCCAGCTGCCACCAGTCCCCAGGGGCCCCACCGTGCACCCCTGCCCCGTCAACCCTACCTGCACTTCGGTAACGGTCCCTTCAGTTAAATCTTTCGGAAGGTGCCATCCGTTTCCTGCCAGGACTCTGATAAAAGTCGGGGTAAGGTTCTTGACAGGGAAGCAGTCTCCCCACAGCCCCACAGAAAGACTGCCAGATTCTGGGGGCGCCTGGGTGGCTGTCGGTTAAACGTCTGCCTTCGGCTCAGGTCATGATCTCGGGGTCCTGGGATAGAGCCCCGCATCGGGCTCCCTGCTCGGTGGGGAGTCTGCTTCTCTCTCTCCCTCTGTGCTCTCTCTCTCTCTCTCAAATAAATAAATAACATCTTAAAAAAAAAAGAGAAAAGAAAGACCGCCAGATGCTTACTTACCAAGAGCCGTGATGGAGATGGGGGTGCTGGCCCGGCGCTCCCCGACGATCTGCCACTCGCCGTCCACAGCCCGCACCCATTCGGTCACGTGGCATTCGTACTGGCCCTCATCCTCCTTCCTGCTGTTGAAGATGCCCAGGCTGAACGAGTTGGGCTGCACCTGCTCCATCTGGACGCCCCCAAAGCTGCTGCGCTCCCAGTAGGACGCGCCGGGCTGGACGGTGCCATCCCGGTCTAGCCACATGATATTGCTACGGCGGTTCTGCCGGTCCACGAGCTGCCAGACGACCGAGAAGCGGCCCTGTGGCCGGCCTGCCATGCGGATGCTGCAGGAGAAGTGCAGGTTCTCACCCTCCAGGATGACGCTGGCGTTGCTGGCCACCTCCACGGAGATGCTGCTCTCTGGGAAGAGGGACAGAGCACCACACTGCGGCTTTCTGGCCCCTCCTGCACCCTCCCCGCAGACGTAAAAAGGAGAACGGGTGCGGAGGTCATGCTATGCAAGTGCCGTTCCCTTGGAGGATAAGAGCCCTCTGACACTCACTGTTGCAAGCCCTGGCTGGTTCTGGGCACTGCTCCCCAGGATTTTAAGATCCATAACCTTGGAGGCCCTTTGCTGGGTACCAGGACAAAGTGTGGGATAAGGAGGGTCTAAGACCTGAGGCTGAATCAGAACCTAAGAAACACAACACGATGACCTTACACTTGGGTCATAAAGGCATTTATCAGAGAATCTGTTCAGCTAGGGTTCAAGGATTTTTCAGCTCAGGAGTTTCTGTAAGCTGAGTGACACGGGAATTCTACTTCACCTCAATCTTCCCGCCGTTCAGTGCTACGGCAGGCAAGTAAACGCTGAACATCCGTCATGTGCCCTTAGAGCTCTTCAGGGCAATATTAGCAAGCAGCCCCAAAACAGAGGGGTGGGGAGTAAGCGCTCATCCTTTTCATTAAGCAGAGGAACACACCAAGGCCACCGGCTCTCCATCCGGCCACCCACATTCAGCCCTGGTTCCACTGCTTCGACCTTAAAACCTCCTGCCAGTCAAACTCTGGGCTAAGGATCCACTCACTCCCTTGGCTCCTTTGCTACTCACTTAGCTCCATGACGTCACTCAATCGAATTATTTCAACTCTACGTGCCTTCTTCTATAAGATAGGGACGGTGGTATTTATATTGTGCAGTTTTTTAAAGATTAAAAAGCAAACAAGACAATGTATATAAATCACCTAACACACAGGAGGTTTCCAAAAGGTGGTCACCGTGATCATGATTAACTTTACTATTGCCAATAACTTTTGTTTTGATAAACATCCTGGATGTTCGAATCTGCCTTAATTATGCGTACATTATTTTGTGTAATTATCTATACTGAGTTTTAAAAAACGCACAAGAATACAAAGTACCATAACTAATTCGGCTTCAATTTTCTGGGTACCACCCACATGAAACACAACAATTTAAAATCAATCAATTAAATCAAATCCCAGATTCAGAGGCATACCCAATCACGGAGGGGGGACCAGCAGACACCCATAACCATGCATTCGAATCGATCTCTTCTCCCCTGTATTTCTCCCACAGGCAGAAACAGACAAAGATGAGCACCGAGCCCCGGCAGGTAGTTCGTGCTATGGTGAGAATGCCTGCTATCCATTCTGCACTGGCTTGTTCCACGTGAAAAATCCGTCTGGACAGGGTGGGAAAGAGGAATTTTCCCAGGAGGGCAACCCCCCCAGGAGCCATACCAAGATGATTTCTGGAGGTGAGGAGGCTCCTGCTTAGCCACCATCTACAGCACTAAGAGGCTAAAAGCATGGATTTGGAGGCAGGCAGACCTGGGCTCTAGGCCCAGGTTTTACTGCTTCCTAATTCTGTAAGCTTGGGGTTCTTCCTTAACCTCCCCACGCTTCCATTTCTCATGTGCAAAACGGAGGCACTAAGAGTTCCTACTTCTTGGGGTCACGACAGTGACAGTATTGGAGGAGATAACTATGTCTCATTATCATCCTCGTTACTAATAATTCCTCTTTAGGTTACGGACTCATCCCCAGTATGATCTTTCCATGTGGGGAATAGAAAGGACAACTCCGCATCGAGGGATAAAAAAATCCCTTCGCGGGCGCCTGGGTGGCTCAGTCGGTTAAGCGACTGCCTTCGGCTCAGGTCATGATCCTGGAGTCCCGGGATCGAGTCCCGCATCAGGCTCCCTGCTCAGCAGGGAGTCTGCTTCTCCCTCTGACCCTCCTCCCTCTCATGCTCTCTGTCTCTCAAATAAATAAATAAAATCTTTAAAAAAAAAAATCCCTTCGCTTGCCTCCGGCAGAAGAATGACGTGCAGGGCGTCCCTGCCATTCCCTACTGTCGCCCCAGTGAACTCTTCCAGAAGCCCTGGCTGGGTTATGATGGGGGCTGCTGCTTGGGGCTCTGCTGCTCGAGCCAGCCTGGAAGAACCGCAGGGGGAGATGCGGACCCCTGAGAAGAGAAACCAGGCCAGTGGACTGGGCAAAGGCAGATACAGACCCGGTGTAGCCTTGCCTGTTAAGACTAGATCCGAGCGTCCCCGGGCCTGAGAAAAAGGCAGCCGACAATTTAAAACTCTCTGGATTAAGCGAAAACTAGGACAGACTGATGAGAATCTGACTGCATGGGCACCAGTGAAATTTCCAATCAGGAGGCGGGCAATGTAGCACAGACTAAGCGCAGAGCAGTGGATCTGGAGTGAGAAGCGAATGTTCCTAATGCCACGCACGCTCAACCACTAACGGAACTGGCTGGGCCACTTCTCTGCACGGTGCTCTCGCTTCTTCATTCAGGGATGGATATGATTTGGGCCTCTACGGGGATGTCAGGGGTGGGAGCAGAGAAAGAAGTGATCTATGCAGAAGTACTTGGGCTCTTGGAAGGAAAAGCGCCATTAAAATCCAAGATATTATCACCATTCCCGATGTGATCATTGTACTTTGGTAGACTTACCCAAGTGGCCTTGGGGCAGGATCTGGTGGTGCTGAGGGACTTTAACTACCCAGTTATCTGCTGGAAAAGCAATATAGCAGGCCACAGATCATCAAACAAGTTCTTGGAAGGGGTGGGGGGAAATCTCTTAAGTACAAAAGATCTAGGGGAGTAAAACAGCGTGGCTGCCCTTCACTGGATCCTTACAAAACAACGAGGAATTAGTTGCAGATTTAAAAGGAGAGAGTCCATGGTTAAAGCAAGCACAAACCGAGAGAAAACAGTCAAGAGAGTCGGCATTCAATTCAACAATTTCAACTCTACAAATACTCAGCAAGCACCTACCCTACGCAAAGCACCATGCTAGGCATTGCAAGGAAAATTTTTTAAAAAGTCTAAGAAACAAAATAATTTTGAGATAATTAGGTGTGTGTGAGAGATTTCAAAAAATAAATAAGTAAGTGCGAAAGAAAGGAATCCTGTTGGTGAGAAAAGAAAGAAGTGGCAAAAGACCCCTATGTCTAATTTTTCCTTCTCGCTTGAGGAGAACTATATTAAAAATGTAAAAGTGTAAATCAAAACGTAGAGGTAACCTTTACAAGGCTAAGGGAAAGAACAGTTTGAGCAGCTGAGAAAAGGTTAAAGGTTAGTTTAAAAACTTCACTGTCTTGTTTAAAATCAGGGCATGGTACGCTTTAATTCTCTTTTTACTAAAAACAGAACTATGAGAGAACTGAGATGTTAATAACATCCTGAATCTAGGGGATGAGTAAACCCAGTAGGAGCAAACTCAGGTAGTGCCCCGAGTCCCCAGCCACAACCGCTCTCCACCCAGACAAGGCCAGCTTCCGTGGAGACAGGAGCCCAGCCATAGCCTCGGAAACCGGCTAAGCTTTAAGAGGAAGGCTATGCTCCAGGAAGACAGGAGAGGTCCCACCCACTGACTTTTGAAAACACAATTTCAACAGGGAAGAGACCCTTAGGGAAATGGCAACCCTTATGCCCCAAAACCCCAGACAGCAAATCTTTTTAAATAACGTGCTTTATGATTGAACATTCTCCCATAAAAGACCAACCCTCGTAAGTGAGATTTCAAGGTAGGCATCTGCCCACTTCTGGGCATTTAATTCCCATGTGGGAGCAAACAGCCATTCCTGGATTCCTGATTTTCCTCCAAGCTGAGCAGGCGCGGCTGGCGTTTATAGAGGGCTGTTAACGCTCGGCTCTGGGATGCCCCTTCCAGCCTGCAAACACACCCCAATGCTCTGCATGACTGGGGGCGTTGCTAAGTGTGGGCAGGCGAGCCGGAGAAGGGAGAGAGATTAACGGATTTCTCTGCCAGCGTTGATTGAACCCTTGAGTTCCACGAGCCCTGCCCTCCCCTCTGCCCACACAGCTCATCTGTCCCCCCGACTTCTCTTCAATGATGCCAGCTACAGACCAGACCAGGGGGAGGAGAAGGCGGCAGTAGAGTACTCTACTTACTGATGGGGAGGACTATGATGGGGATGTTCTTGGGCCGCTTGCTCTCCTTGTCGATGAACTCCCCGGTGACCGTTTTCTCTCTCTCTGTCACACGACAGTTGTATTTCCCGCTGTCTTCCTGGCGGAGGTGGTAGATCTTCAGCACAAAGACACCGTCGCTCTCTTTAGCCACTTTCAGCTGGCCCCTGGCTTCCCGATGGGCGAATTCACTGTTGAGGACCGGCACGGCGTTAGGCCCCATGCTGGCAATGAGTGAGCTGTTGAAGGCCCAGGAGACGGCAAAGTAACGGTCAGGAACGTTCTGAGCCTCCAGGATGCATCTGAACTCCACCTGCTCACCCACCGTGTACAGCCGCTTCTCTGTTTCCAGCCGAACAGTGAACTCTTTGTCTAAGAAAACAAATAACAAAACGGATGCATTCTGGGTGAATGCGGACCCCACCCCCCACCCCCGGCTATCCCAACTGTATCAGCAAATTCCCATTACCCATGCCTTCTGTGTAGTGCTAACCACAGGGAAGGCACCTCCCCACTTGTCCTGGGAGAAAAATCCAACCCATGCCCAGGGGATCTGAGGACTAGAGAAACTCCCAAATGTCACAGAGCGAACTCAAAGGTAGCTAGACCCAGGCAGTCTAAGGGGCTTGCCATCCCAGTTGGGACAGAGGGGGCTCTGTTTGCAGCCTGTGATGCCCTGGATTAGACCCCCAGAGGTCAATAAGGAATATCATTCCTGACATCACTTACCCAGGTCTAGCCCTGACCTGTACTCCCGGAACTCCATTTAAGCAACAGGACTACAAACATTTTCTGCAGATGTGGTAGGACCCATCCCCACTGAGACGTGAGAGACGAAGTTACACGGTGGCCTAGGCGCTGACCCCAATGCTAAGAAATACTCAAAAATGTACCTATAATTGAGATATATTCTCCAGCCCCATGTGCACACTGGAAATAAGACACAGGTAAGACAATCTCTAACAAAATTCCGCAAAGTGAAAGCAAATGTCTCTCCACCAGTCACCACCTGTCAGATCAAATCTCGAGAAGGAAGGGGACAGCTGCTGCCTCAGTTTCCCATTCCCCAAAGGCCAGTCCTACGAGGTAGGAGTTGAAAGGAATGGGTTTCGCTCTGCCACCCTAGCCTAGAGGAACACACCCACAGGGAACTGTGCCTGTATTATCTGCCAGACAGTGGCTCTGTGGTAAACCCAATTACAGTCACTTGACATCAATGATTTAAAAAAAAAAAAAAAAAAGCACCCCTTCCACATAAATGGCATGGAAGACATGCAAATGGGTGCCCAAGACCTCAGAACTTTCCATTTCCTCAGAGTTAGGCTGGCTACCACTGTGGCTTTCTACTTGTGGCAGCCAGAGACTCTTCTACTCTCGTGGGACGATCCCCAATGGCTGGGTGAAGCCTTCCCATGCCCAGGTTGAAGACCCAAGATTTACAGCGAACCACCTCCTTCCTGTAGAGCAACTGGTCCTTGGTGATGATACCCAATTAAACCTCTACAAATTGCTTTATGCTTTTTCCAATGCCCCCTCACTCTTCAGCTCCCTGAAGTTTGGCTTCTGGCCCTTCTCCCACACTTCACTGACTTAGCAAATGTCACCAATGATCCGCCCATCCCCACCTCCGCCATCACACCAAAGGCTTCTCTCAAGCAGGTTTCCGGACCCGTTCTCCGCCCTTGGGTTCCATGACACCTTCCTTCCTGTTTCTCCTCTTGCTTGACTGACCGCTAGGTTTCTCTCTCTTTCTCACTGAGACCTGCTGTTGTCCAGGGCCCTTTGCAATGACTACCCCATGGGCGTCCCCCCGGCCCTCATCCCTCCCCGGTTCAGCATGGACAGTGCTTTATGACTGAGCATCTCTGTAAGATTCTGCATGAAGGATGGACCCCTTGACTAAAATTGACAAAAACAGTAGAAAAGACAACCAGGGCTGCCACCAATGGGGAAGCAGAGGCTTTGAAGCAGGACTTGGCACGCTCTTGATACCTTTCCTTCCCCCTCTCTCCCTACTCCGATGCAAGGAATCGCCCAGAGCCCTGGCCTCAGGGCGCCCGGCAGGTAGATTCCCGTTCCGTGGTGGTGCTCCCCATTCTTCCATCTCTAACACCCACTGGCCTGCTTTCCAGGCACTGCTGCCAACCCGCCCTGGCCTTATAGCTCTCTCCTACCTGGTCTCTCCACGGCAGGACCGACCTGCTTCATCAACCTCCTGCTGGCCTCCGTGGTGTTCTCCTTCTAGAACCCAGATCTCATTGTGTCACTCCTTGCTTTAAAATCTCTATTTCCCCCTCCCATTGTCTGCAACAGTGATTTTCAAACATTCCTTGGAGGGGGCAGGGGAAAGGGCAGTTTCTCCGTGCAAAATCTTTTGTTGCCCAATATAGAAAACATTTGGTTGAGGCAAGCGAGGGAACGCTGTGGCCCTCAGCATGCCTTCCTCCAGGACCTCCTGGCAGGCGCCTCTAAAGTGCTCTTAAGATCCCAAGAAGGACAGCTTGCAAACACGGGGTCTGTGGAGTCAAGGCCGAGCTCCACACTCCAGCACGTGGGGCTTCAGACCTCCTCTCCTTCCTCATCTCGTCACTCAACCTCTGCCCACGCCGGACTCCTCTCTGCTGGCCAAACACAGGACACATTTTTGTGCCCTTATGCTTGTCCCTCTGCTGTCTCCTCAAGCTTCAGACTCAGCTCCACTTAGCAAATTCGCTGCTTTTCCTGGATTTGCCTTCACTCTCCCATCCAGGGAAAACTTCAGGTTGCAAGAGCACTTCCTAGTCACTGTGTCCCAGGGCACTGTCCAGACAGCAGCACCACAAACCTCAGCACGCCCCACTTAGCCACCAGCCTTCACAGCTGCCCCTTCCCGGAACGCAGGCCCCAAGAGTTGTTCATCTCGGAATCCCCAGTGGCTCTCGCCAGACCTTCACTGCGGCAGAGACTTACTGGGTGTTTACCGAAAGGAACTAAGGGAAGGGCCTCAAGATGGGGCTGCAACTGTCGAACCTGAAAAGCTCGGGGGCACAGAGTAAAGTCATCCACTTTATTTTTTTTTATATCTAGTTTTCCCTTTGCTGGCTTAGTCTGAATACATTTGCTGGGCAAATTCAGAAAGTCCTAATCCCAAATTGGTAAGATTAAAATAAAGAAGATTAACTGATGCCACCTACTTTGAAAGCATTAAGATTCAAAATTTGGTCCAGACTTCTGAAGCTGATCGTAAAGCCATCCAGAAAGGGAAAGGATAAAGATGAAGTGTCTTCCCTAGATGTTTTAGTACTGGAAGATCCAGAAGCTGCTAACTGCTCTGGGCCCGAGAGAGCAGATAAAGTGCTCTCTTTCTGGGAGCCGCCCCTTCTCAGAAAAGCCCATCAGATGTCCAGGGAATCCCTTCTGCCCTATTACCTGCAGAGCTGTGCTGGACAATGTGGGCAGTGGAAGAATCACCTGGGACGTGTACTGGAAATCCAGCTTCCCAGGCCCCCCAGCCCCACCCCAGGAGCCTGATTCAGGAATCTGTACCATTAGGTAAGTTGGAAGCACTGCTCTAGAAGGACACAAGAACAAGTGGGAGAAGACTAGGACCCCTGACTGTATGTAGCAAAAGGGACAGTGAGGTCAAGGTCAGGTCCTAAAGAGGAGACCCCCCCCTGTACTGCAGCTCATCTCCCACAAACCACACCTCCAACTGTAGCCCCTCACTAGAGGTGAGGAACAACACAGGAAGGTTCTCGGGCCACTTACTGCACCTCGATGATGACACAACGACCAAAGCCAGGGCACTGAAGGCTCGTGGAGAGCCTGGCCCTGACCAGCCAAGGCAGCCAGCGACAGGGGTCAGCTCTGATCTGGAGCCTGGCTGCACTCGGGGGCATGGGGCAGTCAGAGATTGTGGGGGAATAATACAAGGAGTCAGGGAAGATCTCAGCCCATGGTGCCACCATCTTCTCACCCCAGCTATAAACATGTCACTCAGCCTCCTCAGGGAACCCCTTTTCCAGGTCTTTCATCGGAGAAAGCCGATACTCGCCAGGCTGGCCTTGACAACCCGCCCTGTGACTTTTCCCAGGGCCCCACCATAAAGCAACTGCCCTCGGCATCTGCCCCACCGCCGACTTACCTTGCAGACCTTCTGAGGGACCCTGAAGTAATACGTGATAAAGTATTTTGGAAATTATAAACCACCACATATCTTAAGACATAGTGTTAATATGAAAATAATAATTTAAGCCAAAGTATCCCTAGATCATAATTTCAAACCTCTGATGGAAGGCTCATAATCTCAAATGTCTTCTACAAATGAAACAGGACTGGTCCCCGAAACAGGTAACATCATCAAAGGGGACAGCCACTGTGGACCCAGTTCATCAGATACAAATGGTTTATGTGAAATCTCCTAATTTTTTAAAATGAATTTGTAATTCAAGAAAAAATATAAAATTCCACGTGGGTCCAAGAAACCATGCCTGTAAGCCAGATTCGGTCTGGCCTGCTCCTCTCCAAGACTCACTAGAAGGTCAGATCTTAGTTAGGCTCCCTCTACATTCCTAGTACCCTCAGAGGTCACCAGAGAAGAAGTCTGCACACCCTCCCGGCGTCAGACAACCCTCACCACCAGGTAGAGAGCGGGCACAAGAGACAGACTGACCCGTGGGCTGGACGTTGACCACGGTTCCCTCGGAACGCTTTCGGGTCATGGCATACCACGAGCCGTCCGGGTCCTGGATCCACTCGGCGGCCTCACAGTAGAACTCGCCCTGGTCGGAGGGCTGCAGGTGGAAGACGGTGAGGCGGAAGGTGGTGCTCCCCAGCTTGTCCAGCCGCACCTCCCCCAGGCTCTGCCTCTGGGCGTACTCGCTGCTGGAGTGCAGCACGAAGTCTCGGCTCAGGGAAATGACCTCCGCAGGCTTCTCGCCCCCTCGCTGCCGGAGCCAGGCCACAGACAGGTGGCTGTGCTGGAGCGTCTCCGTGGCCACCTCACACGTGAGCTCCAGGGGGTCCTGCTCCACTTTGTGCAGAGTCTGGGGCACGGCTGTGGTCTGCAGGGTGTCAGGGATCACTGCAACACAGAAATGTCCCAGGCGCCCGGTCACAAAGCCACAGAAGCTCATCCTCGCGGCGCGGAGGGGGCTAGCCACCCACCCCCCACGGCCTTCAACAGTCACCGTGAGGCCACGGGCAACCCCGGATGGCACAGAAACAGGAGCTGCCTGCTTGGATTTGGACTGCAATTTTTTGGCACTTACACTTAACCTGTTTGGTATTTTAATAACACCTGGATAACAGGTAGGATGTATTTTGTTTCCCACAGTAAATGAACTCCCTGAAAATACCATGTAAAAAAGAATTCTCTTTTAGGCCAAATGAGATTTTGTTGTTCATTTTGGTACTGCGTCAAGATACTTTCCCTTGGCTTCTGACCGATCTTCAAAAGGAAATCGTTCCTAGAAGTTGCAGTTTTATGTGTCTGTGCACCTTGCTGACTTCCTCCCCTTTCGTGGCCCCACCCCCACGTGTCCCCCCGCCCAACTCACTTCAGCAATGCAATCCTCTAGCAAGGCTATGTTGTAAAAAAAAAAAAAAAAATCTTTGGTAGAGGAAAGCAACAACATCCTCAATTGTCTGGCGGGTTGAATTCTCCTACAATGCATGTGTCAGAGTGGTCGGCGCTGGAAGGAAGCCTCAGTTCGGGCATTGCCCCATGGCGCCTTGGTCAGAAATGTACTCTGGAGACTAAACACCCCCCATCTCGGCCTGATGGGGTGTGATGGGGACACCCCAGTCACAATCAGTGCTGTCTTTTCTCAGTGCGTGATCTCAGGCCTGGGTTCTCACAGGCCTCCTGATGGGATGCAGACCGAGAGAAAGGGAAAGCAAGTTTGGCATGGGCTGGGGAGGGGGGGATTTCAGTGTGGACAGCACTGGGCTGCAATGTTCACCCACATGGAGGGTCAACAATATCAAGGCTGTTCTGTTTTTCTGCTCACGTCATAATTTCCAAGCATAATTGTGATAATAAAAACTGGAAATTAAGCTGTAGGCAGAAAAACAGATGTGGGAAAATTAAGATGTGGGCAGAAAACAGAACAGCCTTGATATCGTTGACCCTTCACGTCAGCAAGCGTGGTGGCCCACGGCCGTCCACACTGAAATCTGTGCCCTCCCCTCCTGCTAACTCCCCCCATCACTCAGGGAGCACAAGGGCCAAGGGAGAGGGCTGGTGCATAATTCCTTACTCATGCAGCCAAAGGACCTAGGGGCGGGCTCCGGGTATGAGCAAGGAAGGACCTGCAGGTGCATTTGCTTCCTGATTCAGCAGTGCCCCAGGGGTCTCAGAGCCCCTCCACTGCCCAGCGGTTTCGCTTCTCTGCTAGCTGATGTCATATGCTCCATCTTCGTCCTTTCTTCAGACAGATCATCAACCACAAATGTCCCTGCCTTCTATTTTCATATCCCCTTTCGCCAGCTACAGGGTCAGTTAACCTCTGAATTCTTGACATCTGCACTCGATCTTTCATAAGTTTTGGCCTCAGCCTTCTATTATTTACAAATGAACCCACAACCTTTGTTCACTCATGCTACCCGTTAACCACTAAGATATCTGGGGAGCTTTGGATTTTTTTTTGGTTTTTGTTTTTGTTTTTTAAGTTAAATAAAGTTGCACTAAAAAAGAAGTGACTCAGTGATCTGGACTCGGTGTTTATTTCCTCCCCTCCTCCACAATCCATATGGTAAATCCTCATCTTTCCTCCCCCACCCCCCCAACGCTGTTTGGAGGTGAGGCCTCTGGGAGGTGATGAGGTCATGGAGGGGGAGCCCTCGTGAATGGGATTAGTGCCCTTATAAAGGGACCTCAGTGAGCTCTCTCATTCCCTTTCTGCCATGGGAGGACACAATGAGAAATCACAAGTTGGCAACCCAGAAGAGGGCCCTCACCAGAACCAACTGTGCCTACCACCTTGACCTTGGGCTTCCAGCCTCCAGAACTGTAAGAAATAAACACTTGTGGTTTCAGCCAGCCAGGCTGCGGTATTTGGGTATAGCAGCCCGAGTGGACTTACTGGGGCGGGACACTGGCCATGGGAAACGTCATCTCCTTACCCACTAGGTTCATCTTGGCACTGTAACTCCCAAAGTACCGCTCATCCGTGTTGGGCGTGTGGCACTCATACTCCCCGGCATCCCGGGCCTGGAGGTCGGTGATGTGCAGCAAGGCTGAGTTCCCCTGCACTCTCTCCACATAGATCTTCCCCCCGCGGACTCGCTGGGTGTAGATGGCGTAAGGGAAGGAAGAGTCCACCGTGCTGACGATTTGGACCTCGCGCTCTGGGGCGGATGGCAGGTAAATGGACCACTGGAAATTCTGCTCAGACGGCCCCTGGTAGCCACTCACGTTGCACCAGATGGTGATGTGGGAGCCCTCTGTGCGGTACAGGGGTCCTTCCTGGACGGCGACATGTCGCTGTGCCAACACTACACCTGTGGGGGACACACAGACATGCTCGCTTACTTCTCAGACCAAAATGCAGAGTAGGCAGCGATCTTCGAAAGGGTTTGTGATTTGTATGACATGATCATATAAATAGCTTGCTGGCCCCTTCTGAGGTGCTCTGTGATTTATAAATATTAATTAAAACACTCTGCAGTAAAGCTCTGTCCCTAATATGCATGTGTGGAAATCTGACCATGCAAAGTCACGGTTCTGTTACTTATTCAACGGCTGAACCCTAGGGAATTTCATTTAGTCCCTCTGTCATTTGTGTAGCAGTTTTATATCTATTTATTAATGCCGTTTATAAAGTTTTTAATAAAATGAGCACGAAACGTTGAATCCTCGACACCCATTCCAATGAAAACAAATAAAAGCAACCGTCCTGCAGTCTGGGCCTGTAGGTCGGAGGTAATCCTGGGGCCCTCGCTTTGGTGCTACACCCTCCGTATCGGGGGGGGGGTGGGCAGAGCCGAGCTCCTGCAGGCGACTGCAGCTTTAAGCTGAGTGCACACGAATGGGGAAGTACGAGCAGGGCCAAAGCATAGCCCTGCTGCCCAGATGCCCGCACACTGGCAATGGGGGGGGTGGGGGACTGACAGTGTAGACCTGCCCTTTGGGATGGTGGCTCTGATTCCCCACCAGTCCCCCTGCCTTCTGACTGGGCTATGCTGCTCTGGGGTAGCCTCTGCCCGCCTTCTCCGTGTTCTTCTTAACACGGTCTCCCCCACAGACTCAGGAGCGAGGAAATATGATGAGTTTCATTTCTCATTCCATGCCTACAGCCTGAGCCCTGGAGCAGGGAGGAGGGGGCACACCCCCGTGGCCTTCCTTCCCCTCAGCAGCAGCTGGGCACGCCAATGAGGCGCAAGGGGCACGTGAGTTCCAGCCACAGCTCTGCCAGCAACTGGGACTGGCTGTGTCATCTTGGGCAGGTTGCTTTTCCTTTCTGGACCTTGATCTCTTCATCTGTAAAATGATTTCTAAGAAGGCTTGGGAGTGGACCAGCACATACGTCAGGGCTGGCTTTGTCACTTACTAGCTGTGATCTTGGCTAAGTTACTTAACCCTCTCTGAGCCTCAGTCTCCTCATCTGTAAGATGGGGATAATAATAATGTGTGCCTCACAGAGTTATCAAAAAGACTCCGTAAGATAACATCTGCAAAGCCCCTGCCACAGGGTCTAGCCCACAATTACTCTTCAGTATAGGGCTGCTAGCTAAAAACCCCTCCTGGCTGGAACATTCTGCAGCTCTGGATCCACAGCTCTGGCCAGGCATCACCCCAGGACATTCCAAGGGCCTCTTGACAATGACAGCATCTCTGGGCCACCCACCTCCACCCACAGCTGCAGCCCACTTCCACCGTCCATGAAAGCTTTCCCTCTCCCTCTCCAAAAAGGAATCGCAGCTGCCCTAATGTAAACCTGTCTGTCGGAGATCCAGCTGGTGAACAGCCAGGACAGCTCAAGGACTAGCGGGATGTAGCTCTAGCGCCAGTCCGGGGCTGCAGCTTGGGGGTGGGGGGCAGTGTTGGGGCCTCATCTACCAGACGACAGACTTCACCAGAGACCCTACAAGGAAAGGCCTGTAATTCATGGGGAACCTTTTCTCCCAATCAAAATCTTACCCGGAACCCCATCCTGGCTTCACGAGCAGAAACCGGGAACTGAACAAATGAACGGTGGGAACCAAATCAACAGATCAAAGTGGTATGTGAATTTCATTGATCCATCCTGGTTGACAGCATTCATTACTACATCGAGAGTCACTGAGAAGACAGCTCATTAGTTATTTTCAGTCTGAAAATTTGGTGTACAGCGTTTTGACTATGTGTACTCTGTCTATGACAACTTAAAATATCTATATGGTGACATTCTGAATCAAATGTTTGCACTACTCTAGAAACACAGAACTCTGAAAACAATTTAACTACATGCATAACATTTAGGTCTCTTCGTATTTCCTTGTATTGTGACACAAAAGCCTCAACCCCTCATCCCCCGCCTCCAGGAAGGCTACTAGAGGCAAGTCAGGAGGAGCCAGCTTCTTCAAGGCACTACCTCTCCACCTTGGATCCACACTGGAATCACCCCGGGAGCTTTACAACATAGCAGGGCCTGGACCCCACCTGCTGTAACTGGTCTGGGGTGCAGCCTGGGCATCAGCATTTCTAAAAATTCAAACGCATGGCAGGGTCGACAACTGCTGCTTTCACGGGTCTCTACATACTGGCAACCAGGTGTCCAAATTTTAGAGAACGTCTCCTAACTTTAAGCTCTTGGTAGCTTTAAGCTCCTTCCTTCTGCAAAGACTCTCCATGAATTTGGGTCAAGAGCGTTTCATTCTTCTCCAGTGAATGGGCGCAGCGGAGGCCCCGTCAGATCCTGGCTATTGTGAGGCAACCCGGGGCTTAGCCAGCCTGCATTTTCCTCACAGACCTTACGAAAGCGCTTGATTGTCAGATCACACACATCACCCCCTGAAAAGTAAACAGCGTTAAGTGGCCTCAATGAGCCAGGGCATCAGGGTCAAAATGACTTGTCCAAGCCAGAAGCAGGTTATAAACAGCCCTGTCAAACAAATAAATAAATAAACACCGGACTGGACTTGAACCACACACATTCAGCCGCACCTGTTCATTCGATATCTCCTTCATTTCTTTCCTGCCCCACAAAGGGCCTTTGACCCCTGAAAACAATGCCATTCTTAGGGAATGGACCCTAACACAGAAGTAAAAATTACCTTTTTCTTCTCAGTTTAATTCCCTTTCTACACCCCACCCTCCACATTTCCTATTCCTGGCACTGCCCCTCATTTCCCGAGACAGTGCTATGTATTCAAAGAGACCCAGGTCCCCTACCTGGCCAAGGCATCCCCTGGCCTCACAGCCCCTTCCATCTCCCTTCTCAGCCTACAACAGAAGACTCCTCCCGGGCAGGGACTTTTTTATTATTATTACTTTTTTTCAGTTTAGACATTCCTATACTTTTTGAATTACTTTGCAATAAGTACACATCACTTCTGTAATTTAAAAAGAAAAAAACAAATATGCACAGGATCATATATAACCATATAAAAAGGACTGGACGCAAAAGGCAGAAAAAGAGTGGAAGACAAAAATAAGAGCAAAGAACAAGGGCAACAAATACAAAATAGTAATGCGTATAGTAGATACTAATCCAACTATATCAGGAATCCCTCTAAATGTCAATCAGTGGTCTAAACATGCCAATTAAAAGACAGAGATTCTTAGAGTGGACCAAAACACACGACCCAACTATATCATATCTACAAGAAATCCACTCTAAATATAAAGACGCATATGGATTAAAGGTAAATGGATGGAAAAAAATATACCATGTAAACACTAATCAAAAGAAAACAGGAGTAGCTCAATTAATCTCAAATAGAGTGGATTTCAAAGTAAAAAAAGTTATCACTGATGATGAAGGACATTACATAATTCTCCACAAAGACATAACAATTCCTTTTTTTTTTTTTTTTAAGATTTTATTTATTTATTTGACAGAGAGAGACATAGCGAGAGCAGGAACACAAGCAGGGGGAGTGGGAGAGGGAGAAGCAGGTTTCCCGCAGAGCGGGGAGCCCGATGTGGGACTCGATCCCAGGACCCTGGGATCATGACCTGAGCCGAAGGCAGACGCTTAACGACTGAGCCACCCAGGTGCCCCAAGACATAACAATTCTTAACATGTATGCACATAACAACAGAGCACCATACTAGATGAGGCAAAAACTGATAGAACTGCAAGGAGAAACAGATGAATCCACTAGCAGAGCTGGTGACTTCAATACCTCTCTCTGAGAAATGGACTGCTCTAAGAAGCAGAAAATAAGTAAGGACATAGCTGATCTCAACAACACCATCAATCAACTGAGCATAACGGACATCTGTTGACCACTTCATCCAACAGCAGCAGAGTACACATTCTTCTCAAGCTCGCATGGAACATTCACCAAAACAGACCGCATTCTGGGCCATAACACACACCTTAGCAAATTTAAAAGACTAGAAATCACACAATGTCTGCTCGCAGACCACAATGGAATTAAACTAGAAATCTGTAACAGAAAAATCACTGGAAAATCCCCAAACATGTGGGTATTAAACAACACACTTCTAAAGAACACCCGGATCACAGAAGAAATCTCAAGAAATATTTAAAAATATTTTGAATTAAATGAAAATGAAAGCACAACTTACCAAAATGTGTGATATGCAGGCAAAACAGTGCTTAGAGGAAAATTCATAAAGTCAAAAGCATATATTAGAAAAGAAGAAAGATCTCAAATCAGTAATCTAAGTTTCCACCTTAGGAAAACAGAAAAGGAAAAGCAAATTAAGTCCAAAGTAAGCAGAAGAAACCACAAGAATCAGAGCAGAAATCATTGAAATTGAAAATAGGAAATCAACAGAGAAAATCATCAAAATCAAAAGCTATTCTTTGAATAGATCAATAAAATCAATAAGCCCCTAGCCAGTATGACTAAGAAAAAAGAGAGAGGACACAAATTACCTCATATCAAAAATGAAAGAGAAGACATCACCACAGGGCCCATGAAAATTAAAAGGATAATAAAGGAATCCTATGAACAACTCTGTGCCTACAAATTTGATAACCTAGGTGAAACTGATCAATTTCTTGAAAGACTCAATCTGTGAAAACTCACACAACAAATAGATGATTTCAATAGACCTATACTTATAAAAGAAATTGATTCAATAATTAATAACCTTCCAAAGCAGAAAGCACCAGGCCCAGATGAACAAATTCTATTGAACATTTAAGGAGAAAAGTATACCAACTCTCTACAATCTCTTTTAGAAAACAGAAGGAGATGGAACACTTCCTAACTCATTCTGTGAGACCAGCACAAACCTACTACTCAAACTAGACAAAGACATTATAAGAAAAAACCAGACCAATATCCCTTATGAGCACAGATGCAAAAATCCTCAACAAAGT